TAAACTCTAAAAGACAGTATTGGACACATTTTTCTCTTTCTGGAAACATTTTTTTCCTTACTGGGAGAATGCTGGTGGGTTGATGATAAAACATCAAGAAGAAAGTGTGTGTGTGTGTGTGTGTGTGTGTGTGTGTGTGTGTGTGCACATGCACACTCATACATGTATGGTGAGACAGAGAGCCAAGAAAGAAGCATGTTTTAGAGATGACAGAGCAAATGAGAGTGCAATTAACAGGAGGGAGGTGCATGTCGATTTTTGAGATTTAGCCCAAACTTGATTCTTTTTCCAACACCCACACAAGGCACTGGCTATAATTGCTTTTAAAACATTTTATTCGGAGAACCTGAGTATATAAAAGGACAGTTTTCCTGCAGAGGAACAAACATCTACCTCTTAATGGAGGCTGAAAAGCTAGACTGTTTTAAGTGTAGCCACTAAGCAACATAAGAGAATGAAAGGGTGCTAGTGTGCTGGTTATTCATGTGCCAAGTTCAGGTCTCTTAAAGTGTTTAGTCTCCTTTGGAATTGGCTTCCTATTTCCGGAAGTCTTTTAATCACTAGGATTTCAATTCTAATAAAATTGCCTGACAAACTTTTACTGTCGAGAGTGAGGAGTTGGATTCCATCCACTCTGCAAGAGCCCTGATTTAGGGAAAGATCCCTGGGCTGCCATTTCTTAAACAGGCTTTGCTGTGTCCCTAGGTCCAGACTCCCTGGCAGTACTGAGAAGACAGCAACAATTTTTCTTAAATCTACACTGTTGACTAAGCTTGTCTCATGAATGACAGATGGACACAGAAGCGGGAAGCATTGCTACTTCATCTGAAAACAACAGAAAAATTATCTGAAGCAAAACATCACCTTGTTTTCATATATGGCCTGATATTCCTATGAAGGCAAACAAGCTCAGTATTAGCAGATGAAGTTAAGACTCCAAACTCAAATGGTTTCTGCATATCACACAATGCTAAGGAAAAAAAGTTGATTGCAGAATAAGCCCTTATCATAGTAAATGGCTTCACAATGTACAAAATATCACACTAGTTCATTTCCTTTCTTTGAAGATAGGGAAGAAATTAGTATCTTCCTTCAATAAAAGAGAACATTGGTATTCAGAGGTTAAATGGCTGATAAAGCCATACCAGGAGAGCTAGGAAAAGGAAAAATAGATTTTCATCTGTGATTTACCTTTCAGGAAAGTTTTAATGCTCTTGATTTCAGTCTACTCATTTATGTCAAAGTATAAAAAGAATCAAAATTAATTATCTTTTAAAAGATAAATCACCAAAGCAGAAGAGCATCTCATTGGATTTGTTAATAATTATACCAACAAAAATTAAAATAACTATGACATAATATGCTCTAAGTTGGTTTTAAAAATGTAAGCAAACTTCTCCAGTGAGTAATAAGGTACAGTTTAATATGCAATATAGTTAATGCTAATAGTCTTGGCAACTGGAAAAGTCTTTCTAAAGAAATAAGGTAAAGCAAAAGTCCTCTGAATTATATTACACTTGATTTGGTAATATAAGTCAAAGTATTTATTCTAAGGAAGTAATTTTTAAAAGCTAAAACAATTCATTTCCTGTAAGCATATTAGTTATAATGTTAACACTTGAAAATACCTAATATTTTTGAGGGACAAATGGTTTTAAAAAATAGTGTGTAAACAGAATGTAAACCTAAACATATGAAAAGCTAAAAATGAAGGTTACTATGAATGGAAACCTACATACATATTTATCTTTGGTTAGTAAATAGAAAATAGAAAACAAAATATGTACAAAGACAATTACAATATCATACTGAATCAAATTTGTTTAATTAGATGTTTGGGCACAAGGATTTATGAATTCAAGATATACTACATATACTTAATGTCTTTATTAATATATCAATTGTATAGTAATGTATTAATTAGTTAACATTCATTAATGTTGATATATGTTAATATATTAATATAATATGAAAAAATCTGGGGATAGTATTGACACATTTAGCCCATCAGTTACGTAACTGTCCAATTTAAAATACAATTTTAGATTTAACAATAAACAGATAGAAATAAATGTAATTTATATTAGATTGGTTTGAGTACTTAAATTAGAGTCAACTTGGTTGGTCAAACTTTGATGGTCCTCACACAGAATTAATTCACTAAGCCACTAACTTCAATATTCTTAATGAATAATGAAAACAAAAATTACAGGGATCCTGACTGATGTCCAGGAGCTGGGTTTTCTCTGCTTTGTGACATTGGTTTCCTGCACCCTAACAAGAAACAGTTTTGCTGGGTCACACTGAAAATGTTTCCTGTTCTAAGTCTTTTCATTCACAGAAAGTAACAAACAACTCTAGGTTTCTCTCTGTGCAAAAATCTGTCTTTACGAGAAATTAGTTTTGTATTATTTTTTCCATTTCCTTGACTTCTTTACATTCCTAGTATGCAGCTTTTTGGACTTAATGAAAGTTTAGGAGAAACTGCACTGCTAATGCATCTGAGAGCACAGCGACTGTGTGTTGGACTTGAAATTGATAACGAGCAAATATCCTTAAAGCTTACATGAATTCTGAAAAGAGTTAAAATCCTTTGAGTTACCATGGACAGATCTCACTAAGAAAAGCTTAAATGATCTCATATAAAGCACAGACATAAAATAGGTGGTAGGAATTTTAGAATTTGAATTTATCCAGCTCTTCCAGGCATGTGGCTAAATATCTGATAATTTCCATGCTATCCGCAAAATATAGCAACATGCAATGAAAACAAAGATGGAATCACCCTGAACAATCAGATATCTTCCTCTGCAATGGAGACCAAAATCAGCCCACCGACTGTAGAAATCCATTTGTACAAAGTAGATATATTTGAAGGGTAAAACATCTTTCTAAAGCCCAGAGTCTTACTGCACATATAAGTATCACATTCAGAGACAGTAAAAAGGTCTAAAATTTTTAGAACTCATCTCACAATAACATTTTTTCCATTACTGTTTCCTTCGTGGGCCAAATGTGCTTTAAAAATTGCTTCCTTTCAAATTCAAGAGTCATCAGAGAAAAAGCCCAAAAATGACCTCCATTATACAGATGACAAAACTGAGGCTTAGGAAGATTCAGCATCTTTCCCAAGGAGACAAAGTGTTCAGTGATAGAACCAAAGTGAAGCTCATTTGTGTTCTTTTCATAGTGTTCTCTGGCTTTCTGATATTATATCTGAAAATTTTGGCTGATAAGTGATAATAAGAGTAGCTGAAGAAGACTGGAACAAGACCATCAGTGAAGTAGTGAAAGTCAGCAAGACAGTTAAAAAGGGATGAAACACAGAAAAGAGCCACACACACACACACACACACACACACACACACACACTCACACTCACACACATATACATCAGGTGCATGTACACACAGCAGTCTGTAGTTACTGAGTGTAAGAATTCACAGTTCTAGGTGCTTCTGCGGGCTCCTCTGACATTTCTTTGAGACAGCTCATAACAATGAGTAATTTCAGAGTGGTCCTCCTAGGTCAGTGTGAATGACAGGCCATGTAGTTCATTTAAACATATCAGAGGGACAGCCTTCATGTTTTAAATTAATTTGTCAAAGTTTGGCATTTGGAATATGCTACAGCTTTCTACACATTTCTACTACATATAATTGCTCCCTCCAGAGCAAAAGATCATTATTGTATTTGGCTATGCATTTCATACACATGAAAACCACACAATGTTTGTGCAATAGGTCTGTAGCTCTAGAAATCTAAATACTGAAAGAGGCCTGGCTCTGACATCTTTTGGTATTCTCACTTTATAGGCAGAAATTAAGTAAATGACTTTAATATATATATTTTCCCAACTCTAACAGTATAGGGCTTATGATGCTATAAAGGATTTGAGTTGCTTCTGGAAGGAAAATGAAACAAAATTGAACTTAAAAGATGCAAAATGACATTGAATCCAAAAAATGTTAATCTTTAAGAACTTGAGATAAGTACTACAAGTCCCAGAATCACAATGAGCTAGAGATGTCAGGTTATGGAATGATACCAACCAAGCTAGAAAATCCAAAAAAAAAAAAAAAAAAAAAACCCTTAAATTTTGGAAATCTACAAAGTTATGACTCCCCATACATCACACCCAAAGTTTATTTTAGGTTGAGATATCTTGGTACCACAGGCCAACCCATGACTACTTTGTAGGTTTGCAAAAAAAAAAAAAAAAAGAGTGCTATTTTCTTCCATTAACTTGCTAGGCAGATCAAAGTCATGCAGAAAGACAGCAAAGAAATATATTTTAAATTTTGAATTTTTGTACTTATTCATCAATTTCCTTCATCAGGGGATAATTTGATGGATTAAGTAACCCTTCAAAAAAGCTAAGACACCGTGAGAATTCAGATAATCTGAGAATTTTTTAGTCATCAACTATATTATCAAAACACAGTTAAAATAATTACTATTAGCTCAATCAGCACTCCCATTCATTTCTCTTCAAGGTGCTCTGTATTAAAGGGCTTCTTTGCATCATGGAAACCCAGCCAGATAAGCAGGTTACTTAAGAAATGCTCTGAATAGATAAGACTGACCAAAAGTCCCAGAGAAAGTAGAACATAGAACTCTGGTCTTCCAGGTGCCTGACAAATCCAGAAATCTGCAAAGTTTCCCTGAAAAATATTTGGATTTCAAATTCAGGATGAAATCGAACAAGATGTGTGACTGCTCCTTGGAAAGCCTTCCGACTCCTGTACACGCAGGAAAGCCGCAGATTGGTGGTCTTCCCTGCAGCATCCCTTATCCAAAGGAACCCTACCGCCAACATGCTTTTCAACTTCATATGAATTGGAAACAGAGCGGGGAATTACGATATATGGACTTGACACACAATGCAACTTTTGAAGCCTATTGAAGAATAAAGATCAGCTGGCTCCATTCAATTACAAGCAAATGGCATTTGGCCAAAGGAGACAGCGCACTTCAGGGAGAAGTGTGGGAGGACTTACAATATAGCAGGGCTCGCAGTAGGCTTTCTTCTCCACAGCGTAGAAAGGCTGCCCGCGGAGCTTGTGGCTGCAGATGATGCAGGTGAAACAGTCCACGTGGAAGACCTGGTCCATGGCGGTGCATCCGGTGCCTTCCCCAACCACATTTTCCCCACAGCGTGCACAGCGGCCTGCGAGAAGAAAGGCGAGTAATGGTTAGAAGAACCAAAGGAGTTCTTCACTCCTGAAGAAGCAAGCATGGGAGAGTCACCAGACTGATTCACACCATCAGCAAGCAGCAGCCACAGAACCACCCCAGCAATGTCACCATCCAGTCAGCACTCGGCTTTGGGAAGCCAGTGTGATAGGATTTTACAAGAGTCAGCAGAAGTCAATGACCAAAGGTCCCAGAGAAAGAGGGAACAGAGCTGAGGTCTCTGAAGTTAAAACCACTGTTTTGCCTTGAACCTTACTTCCAGGTGTATATAAAGGGAACATAACTCAGATGTTGGACTGAAAGCTATAATCCACAAAACAGTCCAGGAAAGCCTTTCTTCTTGGAGACTATGCATCCAGTTAGAATATGAGGAATCTGGGACCAACACAAACTTCTATTCCTTTCCCAAAATCCCTACTGGTCAAACCTCTGTCATGAGCCCTCAGTGGTAGGTAGACCACAAAGTAGCTTCTTTCATTTCCAGATTGCTCTGCTAAGAAAATTCTCCATGATACTGAGCCAGCATGCATCTTCATTCTAACTGCTACTGAAAAGCCCTAATTCTGTCTTCTTGGGCCTCGTGAAAGAAGTCTCATCTGTTGGACTTGACACCTGTTAAGATCCTACAGTTCAGTTAGCCAGCTTCTACATATGTTCTGAGTTTGAACATTCCTAAATCATATAAAGTTTCCAAGTATTGTGGGGTTTTGAGTCTCTTGGGTCCCTGGTCCTGCCATGAACCATTACCTAGTGTTCTGCAAAATTATAGCATTCTTAAATTGATTAATGAGATATCTGACCCATACATGGACATAAAGTTAGGTTTTATACATTGATTTAGGTTGTAAGAATAAAATATAATTGAAGACAAAAGAGACACTGTGCTGGATGGAACTGATATCTCTATCTGACTCTATCATGGGAATCCTGAGTCAGAGGTCAAGTCCACATCAAATTTGCCTCCTTATCCTTTGTCTATAAATTTAAAAATCCCAACAGATAATTATAGGCCACAGGGGATGTCAGCAATAATTTTCATGCCTTTGCGCATAATTTAACAACAACCAATCTAGTTTTGTGCCTGCCAGACGTTTTTCTTGGCGCTCCCATATATTAATAACAACTGATGTGTGGATACTGTTATTATTTCTATCGTGCAGGTGAGGAAAAGGGAATCATGAAAAGTAGTTCAGCATGATCCAACACAGGTAGTTTTGCTTGAGTTTCTGTGCCTTTACCCGCTGTGCAATATTGTTTCTTTCTAGTTGTATGTAGCAGGATTAATACGGACTTGGCATTACGGATCACGATGGAGAGATTTCTCACTGAAGACTGCTTTCAGCACTCTGTCACGTTGGATTGACAACCATTTCACACATACACACACACACAAATGAAAGGGCTAAATGTTTAACTTGGGGAAAAAGATGTAAATATACTTCTAATTCTCTCTATTACAGGATTGGAATGTGTCTTTTAAATAAGTCTGAAACTAGCCATCATATTTTTCTAAGGAATAAGAAATATCAAGCCAGAAAAATAGCTAAGCTCTTGAAAACCGAGCCATCTCTGCAAGAGTTGATATTATTATGAAGGCAGAGAATCTTGTTCTTGATATTCGATATAACTTCTGTCTAAAAAAATTAATAATCTTCATGGCTGGGCTTACAAACGTCTACCCAAGAGCTGTACAATTTTTAAATAAGATGTATAATTTAGAAAGATATCTTTTTTTTTTTTTTTTTTTTTTTTTTGTCTTTTTCCTTTTTATCAGTACCGGGGATCAAACTCACGACTGCTGATTGTAAGGCAGGCACTTATGCTGCTGAGCTAAATCCCCAGCCCCAGAAACATATCTTTAAAACACTGCTCTTTCCCTGCTTAGAGTAAGAAAATTAATTCATATCATAGTATTTTTTGATTACTCTGGCAACAGAGAAACCAAAAAAAAATCTTAATTGGTTTATTATAAAGGGAATAGCACTATTTGAAAATAATACTAAAATTCTGAGGCCTTCCTGTCACCAACTGACAATATTTCACTACAGAAAAACTCTTGGGGATTAAAGGACAAAGAAATCACCAATCCGTGTGATTAATAAGAACACACAGGATTGGTACAAAAATTGTAATATTATATCATAAACTTGTTAAATGCAAGTCAACAAAATTGTTTTTCTGTATTAATCTCTGGCTTTCTAGAAGAAAAATGTGGATCACTTAACAAGATATCAGGAACCCCTTTTCCGCAGTCACCCCCAGATCTGTAGATTGAACTTTGTGACACAAAACAAAACAAATTCTGGCCAAATGGTATCACCTTGTGGTCATGGTAGTCTGCTAGGCAAACAGACAGGTGAATTTGATCTAAACCAGTGAGGGCAAACCTTTTACGCTTTCAGGGATACGACCATCCACTGTGGCAAAAGTTCCTTAGGTCCCCCACCACTTCCCTAGACCATGAATATACAAAATGTAATGTCTGGAATCTAACAGAGTTGGTAGCTTATCTATGAAGATATGGAAACAAACTTCAGTAACTGATTTAAAGGGCAAGATTAAGGTGGAAGATAAGCTCTGAAATTGTCCATCTATTCAACTACTTGTTCAGTCAGCTTCTATGTAACATGCAGAAATGGATTAGGTGTTTGCTGCAAATTTTATAGTCAGTCGAGCAAAGAAAGTGCTGTGAAAATATAAAAGGAAAAATTACATCTGAGATGGTTCAGTAAAGGATTTATGGAGAAACAGACATTCAAATTGGACTTTAAAGAGTGAGAATTTGACAGGTTACAAAGTACAAGGGAAAAAGTATTCTAGGTTTTTTTTTTTTCAAAGAAGGAAGTGTTTTCTAGGATGCAAAAACACTACAGCGCTTGGTGACAGTACAACAAGGTTTTGTCTTCTCAGCTATGAAAGCAGCTATGAAAGCTTCTCAGCTATGAAAGCAGACATTTCCTTTATGTTTTGGAGAACCTTCTTCCAGAAGGGTCAGGCTAATATGCTGGACTGACTGCGATATGAGCAACCTTGCTGCCTGCTGTATTTTTCCTATCCTTGGGATAAATTGGGGACACCAGCCTTGAGGGCAGTCAGTCTGGCACCTTAAAATTCACAAGCACAGAGAAAAGAGCGAAGAACCAGAATTAAAAATAGCTCTACACATCAGCAACACGGAAAAGGTGCCCGAATGTTCTCCTTTCACATTAACAAAAATTTACAAACTATTTCTGTTAGAGAGGCATTCGGAATGTAAAGAAAGCTACCTAAGCATGGGGCAGCTTTGCCTCGAGAAGGACCCACACTAAATGCTCTTAACAACCTTGATGTCCTCTGAGGCAAGGATCTCAGCACTTATAGGAAGCAACAGAAACAGACATAAGAAGAAAATTCAGAAGAATGATACTACACTTCACGGCATAGGGGCAGGAAGGGATACAGTCGAGCAGGGGTGGGGCTCAGACCCAGGAGGACAGGAGATCTTTAGCAATGCTTAGTACAGCAAATCAAAGGAACCAGTGACAGGACTAGTGAACCTGGACATTGTGCCTATGAATTAAGTTTCATAAAGCACATACCTGCCAAAGGCTTTCATCTGCGGCACCAGCCATGGGATCTTCCTATCCCTCACCTGCATTTGTCCATCTATTACGACCTCATCCGTGTCTCTGGAGACCATGCCCACTACCTAAATTAGGTTTCATTCTTCACGGGCCATTGCAACAGCTTCCGCATTGCTCAGATAGCTCTAGTTCACTCATTCTTACGAATGGAAAGTCTTTATGAAAATTTCAATAATTGCGCTAAATCTGGAAAGTTGAACAAGTCGTTACAGTCAAGGCATCAGTGGAGAGTGGCATTCTGGAAGAATCAACAGATTGAGCCGGGGAGAAAGAGTAGTAGGATATAAGGTTTCATTTTCCGAAACCAATCAGATGCAGAATATTAAATACTGCATGGTTTTTCTTATATGAGAAAGCTAAAATATGAAAATTTTGAATCAACAAGATCATATAAGGGTAGTAAAGTGATGGAAAAATATTCCTAGAAACGAAGCCTGCTTTGATTGATTCTTTATATGTACTTGCCTTCCTGAAGCAGAGCCTCAGTTAACACTCATTCAGAACCTATCTCATTGAATGAAAAACAAAACAAAACAAAACAAAAAAACTACAGAATGATTATTCATCAGTTATGTGACAGGTCCATATGACATTCACTGGGGTTTTAGATGATGACATTTTGAAATCACCAAAGATTTTATATCCTGGGACTTTGTAACATCAATGTAATGGATAGACAACCTGTTTTCTCAGGCTGGTTATTTTCTAGGATTGTGATTCTCAACTTCGCCTATTTACTGGCATCATCAGGGGAACTTTATGAAATATACTGATCCCTGAGTCCTAGATTCAGGGATTCTGGTTCCCTAAATCTGCGGTGAGATGTAGCAGTGAATGTTTTGAGTTTTCCAGGTGATACCAATGTTCAGGTTGAGCCACTGTTCTTGGGGGGTATCTATTTCTTCAGAATAAAAAGTGACAGGTATTAGCAAAACAGGTTTCATCTGTAGGCCAAACAGGACAGACTGCCCAACGATGGAATAGCCAAAAATTAAAGATTTCTGTGGCATCATAAACAACGAAAACATCTCTCTACTGCTGTGCTTGTGTCTTATTTTGAACAGTTTTCAAATGGCCCTTCACCCATCAAAAATACATGAATAGAAACAGGCCTATTTTCTTATAAAATATTTTGCTAGTATTTAGTTAGAAAACAGTGGCTCACCTTTATTAATTAAAACACTTTTGTAGAGTAAGTCTCTTCTTCAGTGATAAAATACTGATCATGTAGAACTAATAAATATATCATACTAATATATATAGTATATATATAATATACCATATACTAATTAGTATATAATATACATAATATATACTATATAATTAGTATATCATATATATATATATACTA